CTCTCTCACACACACACACACACACACACACACACACACACACACACACACACACACACACACACACACACACACTATGTATCACCCTGTATAATTTAAAAGACCAAATATGCATAAGCCAGACAAAGACATCCTGAATACAAAACCCAATTCTGTCTGTGTGGCAAATATAAACACTGTAATGTGCTAAAAAAATAAATAAATAAATAGAAATTTTAAAAAAAACGTACGAAGCAAAAGAGGTTTCTGTTTCTGTGGCGTTGACTGTGTGTTTGCTATTTGGCCTTTCCGGCTTTGTTACTTTCGGGGGGGGACAAGCTGTGCAAACCTCTTCAAAAAATAATGAAGCTCCACTCTGATTGATATTCAACCTGACTGCTTACTTAGTGTTCACCTCATTCTGGCTTCATCTCTTACTGACTGCTCACATCAGCCCACATTGATAGGACAGGTGCATGATAGAATTCGTCCACCCAATCTGGATTTAAAAATAAAACAAAACAGAATGGAGAAGCCCAGCGACAAATCAAGTCATGTACAGACCATTTCGAAATCATCAAAGCTCAGCTAGAGAAAGGACTTGATTTTGATTCACAGTCACAGAGGGATGTTGAGATTTTCAAAAGCAAACTTTCAGAGAAGCTTGGTTAAACCGTTTCCCTTTTCCCAGCGTGGAATAAAAGTCAAAGAGACGCCAAAGTGAGAACAGCCTCTCATTGATTCAGGATTCAATCCGCAGTCATACCTGCCTTGATGCCCAAGCTGCCACTCAATGCTTGAACGTCCTTTACTGCATCGGGAGACGCCACGTTCACGAGATTTTTTTATTTATTTTTATTTATTTTTTTTTTTTTGTGAGACAGACAGGTGACCAGTAAAAATTCAAGTTGCATGAGATAAAAATGCTAAACAAGCGCCCCCGCGCTGACAGGTGCACAGAGATCTGCATTGGTGTTCTGCATACCGAGGGAAGAATTTGTTTCTAACATGATTCATGCAGCATCATTTTTTTGTTGTTGTTGCTTTTGTTTTTTGTGCGTGTTGTTATTATTCATCCCTGGTGGAGGGGATTGAGTATAAAGAAGAAAACCAGACTTTTTTTTTTTTCACCCAGCAATAGTATGAGAAGGAATTGATTTGATATCAAAAACCAGACTCTTCCCCCCCCCAGCAATAGTATGAGAAGGAATTGATTTGATATCAAAAGAGAGTTGGCCCTCAACGATTCATTTTTTTTGCTTCTTTCTTTTGTTATTTGGAAATCTATGCACAAGTTGCACATATTTTTTCATAGCACGACTGAAATAAATCAACTTTTTCATGATGTTCCGATTCTTTTTTTTTTTTTGACAGGCACATATAGATGGATGCATTGGCTGCGAACTGTGCAGTTCTGGATTGTTTATCCAACTGTGCTTTGGAAAGCAAAAAAAAAAAAAAAGGTACATATTTTTGACAAGTGTTCTCAAAGCGCCGACTTAACACATGCCCAAGTACATCACAATCACTCTTAAGATAATGAGCTTGATAACACTTGTAGTTACTGTGACCAGCGGTGACAGATTACATAATATACACAAAGTAAAGTACTAAAAAAGACACTTCTGGATACAAGAGGGAGGACAAGCAGGTGGTGACCTCAGGCATTTTTTTTTTTAAACTGAACGGTAAACTTTTCAAAAACACACTTTTTTTTAACACACTTTTTGTAAACATACCCTCAGTGCCGAGTTAGAATTAGAATCATATTTCATTTATTAGCGCTTCATATGTAAACTTCAAGTGACCTCTCTGACATCACTGTTTGCATTTCCTGCACATATTTAATGCCGTGTGTGTGTGTGTGTGTGTGTGTGTGTGTGTGTGTGTGTGTGTGTGTGCGTGCGTGGTTTTTTTTTTTAAATGATTTGTTTTGAGTTTTGATTGACCACATGAATTTGTAATCACTTTGGATATCTGATCCGTCCATTTACACTGCAGTCGCATCAGCAGTGGTCTGATTCATATCCGATTTATCAGAGGCATTTTTTTTTTCAACCAACACCAATCAGCCCCAATAAATCATTGACCCGTGTCACCAAACGTTTCCAAACAAACCTTAGAAAACAGGCTCAAGCAAAAGGACTGTTGCTTTGCGACGCCCCATGCGGTGACACACAGGGCATCTGATTTGTGGAACCGAAATGGATGGGAATAAATCAACGCGGAGCCAACAAGGCTGCATACTAATCAATGCATTACCCAAGGGATAACTGTGCTCCCTCACTAATGGCTCTGTGTGTGTGTGTGTGTGTGTGTGTGTGTGTGTGTGTGTGTGTGTGTGTGTGTGTGTTTGCTGAAAGGATGTCCTGCACTTCACGTCAGCCTCTCTCCCATCAGTTTGTATGGATTGCGTTCGCATTGTATTTAATTGCAAAACAGTGGCAGCAATTCGCAGGGATTATTCTGGATGGAAATTGAATCAGAGGACATTTCACCAACGTTACTGGCTCACCGTCGATTGCCTATGTGGACAGTCGCACTGGTCTCTTGTCATTCCATTCACTTTGTACGTACGTGCCTAGAGCATGGGAATTATTCTATGTTCGGTTTAACCCTTTCACGCACCCTGTAACCTGATAACATGATAAGCCGTCCACTATAGTGACCGCTGTGCCTGAAAGGGTGAACAAAGGATTGAAAGGCGAGGAAAAAAAAAAGGGTATTACCTTTCTGTGGACCTCGCCCCAATGTCACAAAACCAGAGGAGATGAAGTTGTGAAGGTCCGCGCCACCGCTATTCCGCACAACCTCCTTCCCGTAGTGACCTGTTTGGAAACAGAACCATTTCCAGGTCATTCATACCTTCAACATTCAATTTGATGATTTGCAGGAAGTGCTAGTCATTTGTTGTGTTGGAAGTATTACAGTTGGAATCATTTTGGAATGACAATGGCCCCGCCCCCGCTATCGGTGAGGGAGTGTGACCGGTCCAAATAGAGAAGAGCTGGGGAAGAAAATAATATTTAACCACCCCCGAAATCTTTAAAAAAATAACAATAATAAAAAAATAAACATTCAAGATACATTTTCCAATTAAAAATGAGGACAGAGCAAACCCCCGAAAATTATGAAAACATGTTTTAAAATGTTCTTTTTTTTTTTTTTTTTAAA